CCCCCCGCGCCGCCGGGACCCCCGGCCCGTCCCCGCCGCGGCCCGGGCGGCGGCTGCCCAACGGGTACTACCCGGGCACCGGCGGCACCGGCAAGGGGCGGCCCGGCCTGCGCGACCCCTACAGCGAGACGGACGATGACTGCTGCTAGCGGCGCCCGTGTCGATATATCGCGACAGCGCGTCGCGGCCGGGGGGGTGGATGTCGCCGCCCCCCACCCCGCCCGCTCCCGGGGGTTTGGATGAGTTTTATCATCTGGAGGAGCCGCCGCGGGGGGGGCGGCACCGGGAACCCCCCCCCGGGACCCCCCGAAGCTCCCCACGGGCGGGGGGAGCCCCCGGCTCCGGGAGGAGCCGCCGGGATGGGAGCGGAGCCCGGGAGGCTCCGGGATGGGCAGCGGGTACCGGGTACCGCCACCGGGAACGGCGGGAGCACCGGGAATACCGGGAACACCGGGAACGGACACCGGGACCGGGAACGGGCACCGGCACCGGCGCCGGGAACACCGGGAACGGGCGCCGGGAACACCGGGAGCGGGCACCGGCCCCCCCCGGCCCAAGGCACGGAGGCGGCGGGACCGGGGCCGCCGCCATTGCATGAACCGAGTTACCGAAAATAACAGATCAAAGACAAAAAAAAGAAAAAAAAAAAAAAAAAAAGAAGAAAGAAAAACAAACAAACAAAAACAAAAAAAACCGAACCCGAACCCGAACAGCCCCAAACCTGAACCATTAAAAAAAAAAGGAATTTTGGATCGAGCCCGTCTCGCTCCTTCCCGGGATGGGGGGGAGGGCCTCCGGGGGCAGCGGGCGGGGGGTCCCGGTTCACCGGGTCCGCGGTCGGTGCGGGGTCTCGGTTCCGGCTCGGGGGGTCTTCGCTCGGTGGCCCGGGGGGGCATCCCCGGTGCCATTCACTGCGGGGGGCTCCGCCCGGTGGGTTCCGGTGGTCCCCGGCGCAGTCCCGGAGGGGGTTCCCCCATTCCTGCTCGGTCCGGGGGGTCGCTCGGTCCGCGCTCGGTGGGTTCGGGCACCGGGGGTCCGCGCTCGGGCGGCCACCCGCTACGGGGGTCGCTCCGGTCACCGCCGCAGCCCCGGGCAGCTCCGGTACCGGGATCGCCCCGGGCACCTCCGGTACCGGGATCGCTCCGCTCCCCGCAGTCCTGGGCAGCTCCGGTCCCGGAATCATTCCTCTTTCCGCCGTCCCGGGCAGCTCCGGTACAGGGATCGCTCCGTTCACCACCGGTTCGAGAGCTGCAGGCTCCGGTGCAGGCGGAGGCCGCCCCGCCGCACCCGGCACCGGTAGAGCTTCCACACCGACACCGTCAGCAGTCGCTGCGCCTCCTCCATGGCGGCGGCGCCGGGAGTGCCCCGGGCCGGCCCCGCCGCGCCTCTTGTACCGCCCCGACCCCCCCGGGCCGCCCCCGCCACCGCATCCAGCCCCGGTGCCGGCGGGCTCCCGGCGGCCGCTCGGGCGCTCAGGTACCGGTGTCGCGCCGCTCGGACGAGCAGCGAGAGCTGCAGGCTCCGGTGCAGGCGGAGGCCGCCCCGCCGCACCCGGCACCGGTAGAGCTTCCACACCGACACCGTCAGCAGTCGCTGCGCCTCCTCCATGGCGGCGGCGCCGGGAGTGCCCCGGGCCGGCCCCGCCGCGCCTCTTGTACCGCCCCGACCCCCCCGGGCCGCCCCCGCCACCGCATCC